GTGCAGTCGGTGCCTCGTTAGAGGGCGGCGGCCACGTCACCAACCCCCTCCCCCCCCACTCCCCCAGCCCCTGGCCTCCGACAGGTACGTCCTCACAGGAGGGGGAGGTTCTCCGAAAACATTTCCAAAGCAACCTGAGCAAACGAGGACGCTCAGAAAAGATGAAAACGTCCTTCCCATCACGGCTGAAACAAGTTAACCAGTGTCCACCTGTGCACTCAGGCGTGTGCCCAGGTGTGTGCTCACACTCATGTATGCAGGTGTGTGCCCAGGCGGGGGCTCACACATGTGTGCCCAGGTGTGTGCTCACAGGTGTGGGCCCAGGTGTGTGCTCACAGGTGTGTGCCCAGATGTGGGCTCACACGTGTGTGCCCAGGTGTGTGCCCACACGCATATACCCAGGTATGCCCAGGTGTGTGCTCACAGGTGTGTGCCCAGATGTGGGCTCACACGCGTGTGCCCAGGTGGACGCTCATAGATGTGTTAAGGATCAGCCAGATAGAGACACTCCTTCCAAATGCTAACCACTGAGCCACCGAACAGGTGCAGAACTGAATGTAAGACCCCCAGCCCTGCCTCCACAAAAAGTCACCCTAAAACAAGGTGGGCAAGCCAGCTGGCTATCAGCCACCTGGGCCCTCTCCCATCCCTGCCTCTGAGTCTGTCCTCCATGGTGACAGGTTTACTGAAAAAGCAACTTTTTGTCCGGCCGGTGTGGCTCAGCGGTTGAGCATGGAGCCAGGAACCAACAGGCCACCGGTTCAATTCCCAGTCAGGGCACAGGCCCGGGTTACAGGCTCCACCCCCTGTGGGGGGTGTGCAGGAGGCAGCCGATCCATGATGTCCCTCTTTCATCGATGTTTCCATCTCTATCCCTCTCCCTTCCTGTCTTTCTCTAAAAGAAAATCATTAAAATACATACATTTTTAAGAAAAGCAACTTTCTACTGTGAAAGAGCTGGAGTGCCCCTCCCCCCGCAAGCCCTCCTCGGAGAATCGGCCCATCCCCAGGCTGGATGGGGAGGGGTGTGTGCAGCTACCCCCCATTTTCTGAGACACTTTGGAAATACTTTCTGAGAGCCTCTCCCTTCTGTGGGAATGTCCCTCTCAGACGGCACAGGACTCACCCAGCACAGGCCGGGCTGCTGGTGCTGACGGCCAGGGACCAGGGGCGCCTGGGGGTCCTCCCGGGGCGGGGGGTGGCCTGGGGAGGGACGGGAGCAGAGGGGAGGGGAGGCAGGTGCACCTCCCAGGCAGTCAATGGGCAAGAGGCGGGAAGAGGGAGTGGAGGAGAGAAGGGGTGTGGCCAGGCCAGGCTGCTCCAGGTGAGTTAT